CTCAACCGCCATGCCTGACTCTGTCCCGAGCTTCCTTGATGCGGCACTACCCCCACTGGGGCCTTCCGGATGCAGCGCCTAACAAGGTGATGAAGATGGTTTCTATCATAGCCAGGTAAGTACCCCACCACTCTCCTCCTTGGTCCCCTTCTCCTCCCTCCTCCTACCGGTAGAGCTCCACCATAGCCAAGGTGGAAGCTCCCGGCTTCTTCCTCCCAGCAGCGCTGTAGTACCCAGCGCCACTCCAGCCAGCGCTCCAGCAGCGTGTCGCCAAATTTGCACACTGAAGAATGACGCCGAGCTCTTGCCTCGGCCTCTTGATATAGCGGCCTGCTTGCCTCCTGGGCAGTGACTTCTCCTCCCAAGCAACCGGTACCTCCTCCCTTTCGGAGGGAAACATCATTGCAGACTCTGATATTGCCCGTACAGGCTCTAGACTCAGACTGGATGGACTGGTACCGGCCTTGACCTAGCCTACCGCTACTGGGTCTCTAAAAATGCCAACTTTGTCTTCTTCTGCTCAGCCTCGAGTACCCGGCACATCTACTGCTACTGGGTGCGGTACCGGCCTACCTGCTACTTGAGTGTATTTCCGCTGCTCTAAGCACCGCGGGGCCCTGGCTCCGCTACTTGAGTGTTTCCCTGCTGCAACCCTCAATGCCATGGCCACAGGTAAGTACCGGCCCTACGTGCCTGCCAAACAAGCAAGTACCCTTGCGGGTCACACACACACTCATGCCGACAAGCACTCAGACAGGCACGCAAGTCCACAGGCATGCACACATANGCCTGCCAAACAAGCAAGTACCCTTGCGGGTCACACACACACTCATGCCGACAAGCACTCAGACAGGCACGCAAGTCCACAGGCATGCACACATACAGACTTGGAAAACACAGCAGAATGCGGGAATCTTGGCAAGGCATCCATTCCATCGGCAGAACTTCAGAAATCAGCAGTGTTCTCAGTCTGTGTTATGGCGGGTCATTACACTGCGGAAATACTGTGAAACTTGTTGATACGGTAATCTGGCCTGTCTGAACCGCCAGTGCCCGGTAGTGTACCGAGAAGGCATGCCAGTATGCAACGGGGTTGTCGTTTGGATGTGCTGAACACCCTGCCCTGGCACACAATTCATGACCGCTCTCTCAGCAAATTTGGCCGCTGATGATTATTGGGCATTGGGGCTTTGAGAGAGTGGTCCAGGTGGTTCATTTTTTTGGAATGCTGTCATGTGTAACTAACAGGTGTTTTACTCTGAATCGAAGCATCTTTCGGAATCGCTCAACCCCCAGCTATAGCGCACGATAGTACGCTGAGGTGCCTCTTACTGGGTGGTGGATATGGTATTATGGTCACCTAGGATTAAATTGAAAGATGCAGACTAGTAGATTACCCAATCAATTGTCACAATCGTTTCAGTAATGACAACTGCATTTTTTGTTCCTTGCTGCATTCATTCCTCACCCTGTGCGTGTGTCCTCACCTCTGTGATTGGTTTCTCTTACCGGCTTGTTGTGGCTGCAGGCATTATTCAGTCTGATGGTGGTGGATCGGACCATATATTTGTGTGTTTTTCCAACAGCGCGGGTTCTTTACTACTTCTTCACCCTCATCCTCTTCACGAGCTATGTAATGATGATGTTTTGGACCGCGAAAATGGAGAGTGCCCCAGTGTTAAAGGATGAGGAAAGAGGCCACAGCACAGTCTGGCTCTTCAGGGTTTTCTATTTTCTCAAGAGTTTGTCGCTGGCATTGTCAGCTCTGCAGCTGAAGTATGGCCACCCCACAAACAGTGTTCGATGCGGCCAGTTCCTAATGAGGAAAGTCAGTCGTCTCAACTGGATCGGGTTCTCAATATATCGTGGCTTGCCATTTGTTTTCGAGCTTCGGAGTGTGCTGGACTGGGCCTGCACAACGACATCCTTGCCGTTGTATGATTGGTTGAAGGTGGGCACACTGACGTGTTTTGCCCTGACATTTGGTGGGAGGACAACCATTTCCGTTGCCAAAATGCCATTCCCAAACCTGCCTCTCATTGGAAAATAGTAAAATACTGAAATCACCTCAATTGGGGTCTCCTCCAGTCCAAACCCACAGTTCGTTTTTGTTTTTGTTTGGCCCGATGAACAATCAGATATTAAACTGATCGGAACAAAACAAAAAAAAAAAAAAAAAAAAAAAAAAAACAAAAAAAAAAAAAAACACTGAGCAGAGCAGATACTGCACTTGATCTATTTTTAGCCAAAAGGCCAAGAAAGAGTTTATAAACCACCACTACCTTTAGGCCGGTGTCCCATTGGGAAAATGACCTTATGCTAAAATTCCGGAGGCCGGGCCCAGCATGCCACCGCTGTTGATAAATTTGATCGGCGGCCGTTTTCGTGTTACCGGCCTATGAAAATTGTGGGTCCTCACCCACAGCCGACATATGTAAAAGGTAGTGGTGGTTTAAGACCCTGTCATTGCCTGCTTTTGGAGGGAAGCAAGCATGTCCATCATCGAACTGCTCTTCCAGGGGAACGAATGCTGGCCCAGAAATTTCTGATCTGATGCTGTATTGGGATGAAGCACGCTTTGTTGATGACATTTGTCAACATGATCTTCAAGCCGCTCAGCAATATGCCTTCACCTATCGCCTCATGGATGATATTCTTTCATGGGGGCAATTACCTCCTCCACCATAGCACTATGGGCTTGAGTGGAAGGAGACTGCAGCAAAACAGATGGCTCGTGTACCTTTTTAGGTATGCATCTACGGGTCTGTACCGATGGATCGCTTCGCATGAGCGTCTTTGTGAAAGCGGCTCCTTGGGACTTCCCTGTCATTCGTTATCTAAGTGCGACCTCCAACATCCCTTCACATCAACCGGCTGGTGTGTTCACTGGGCAGTTGACCAGATTTGAACAAATTTGTAACACTTGGCAGGACTTTCGAACTGTGGCAACAACACTTACTCGTCGTATGCTTTCGTGTGGGCATTCCCCACCAACCCTTGCTAAGGGGTGGACCTGCTACATGCGCTCCCGCCAACGTCGCTATCCTACGCATGTGACAGGTCTCTCTCAGTGGTTCCGACGCATGCTGCGATGGTCCTTGTATCATCCAATTTCTCCTTCGCCCCCACGCCGCTCTCGTCCTGCCCCTGCTTGCTCATCTGCGGATACCGCAGTTTCCACTGCTGCAGTCTCCACTCCTGCAGTTTCCACTGCTGCAGTGTCCACTGTTGCGGTTTCCACTGCTGCAGTGTCCACTGCTGCAGTGTCCACTGCTGCAGTTTCCACTGCTCCAGTTTCCACTGCTGCAGTTTCTGCTGCTGCAGTTTCTACTGCTGCAGTGTCCACTGCTCCAGTTTCCACTGTTGCAGTTTCCGCTGCTGCAGTTTCTGCTTTTGCGGTTTCCAATGCTGCAGTTTTCAGTACAGCAGTTTCCATAACTGTAATTCCCCCTAGTGTGGTTTTTACTGCTACAGCTTCCTCTCCTGCAGCTCCAGTGCAAAGAACATCACAGTCTCTCTGACACTCAAGTCCATTATTTCAAAATCTTGCCCAATCCACCCCCCTCTCATCTCTTTCTGGCCGCAGACGGCTGCGTTCCTCCTCACCAACCCCATCTCCTCCACGGTCTCGCTTGCTAACAGACTCTCCAGTTTCCATTGTTCCCATTGTTCCACATTCGTTGCTAGGGACGAGTTCATCTTCTGTTTGCAACACCACTACTCCTCTTGTGTGTATCACCGATGACATCAGCGACATTGTCACTTGTCCGGGAATAAGCAACCTGTTTCTTTGTCTGCCCCGATTCTCTCTTTGCCTTCTCTCACAGGTTGTTGCCTTTCCTTCGTTTCAAACGGCAATATCCGCTCCTATGCCTCCTGCAGACAGTCCAGCTGCCTGGAGGCAGCCACTGCACCATGTTTTATACCCTGCGGCATTAGATATTCACGACTCACCTATACAACACGATGTGGTCCCTGCGCAGGGTACACTACCGACTCCAGGTACAGTCCCTACTCAGGATGCAGCCCAAAACATTGAGGGATTGGAATATGTTCTTCCCGGATTGCAGTTGACCCCACAAGGCGTAAACCACATGGGGGATCTGCAAATGGCTGACCAGCATTGTTTGGATGAACCACAAATTTGTGCTCTGCCACGCGCAGACCACATGGGTGATCTTCAAATAACTGACCAGCAAACAACCCAACACAGTTTGGGCTTGCAACACCATCTGGGTGATCTGCAAATTGTTGGCCAGCATCCAACAAACCAGTTGGAGAACCTCACCAATCTTTGTGGTCCTACATATTCTCCACCGCCTGTTTTATACACCATCAGACTTCCTTGCAATTGCCCTTCAGCTTGGTGCTGATCTTCCCCAACTACAGCCGGAGGATTGTAATTATACCAGCGAAGGAGGCTTTACCATTTGCTGTCCTACAAGTAGCAATGACGGACCGTCAACTTGAACTACGCAATGCTCAAGCAGGTGAGTGGTTTAATCCTCCATCTCACATCTCTGCCTGCATTGTGCACAGACCTGGCCATTACATGGCCATTGTACATGCTTCTGACAACTGGGAGCTGTGGGACAACGGCACCATGGTCCATGCCATGACTGATGTCACTGATTTCTTACAAAATGATGCTGTTTTCTTGCCACAACAAACCGTCTGCAATCTCTTTTATGTCGAAGATCATTCCTCTGGCCCCGTGTTGTAGCAAGACAATGTACCAACACTTCGCAACCTTCTCCTTTGCACAGCCACAAACACTGTTACACTCGGCTGTAGCCGCCATCGTCTTTGTCACAATCACTACTATGACATGGTTTCTGCATCCATGTGTGCAGAGGACTGTCCCTCCATTCCTGACTGCAGGCACCCTCCGCATCCGGACACTATATGTCCATTTTGCGGCCATGGGCGCTATACTGAATGCATGGTCTTTTGTGGTGACCATTCTTGGCACCCTCCGCATCCGTACCATTCTTCCTTCATTTAGCCTGCAATCGACATGCCATTTGTCGGGGGTGTATGGTGTGGGCAATGGGCATGCATGCTGAATGCCAGCCGTCGGGGCAATTGTTGCACTGAGAATGCTCAACTAGGTCTTCCATGTGTTCATCCACCTCATCCTCACAATCTATGCCCTCTCTGTCGTCAAGGACAGACTCATTCTTAAGCCTTTTCTTATCCTCTTTTGCCTTCATCTTCACTACACACTCCGTACTTTCCCTTTATCGTTTTTTTTGTCTGCTCTTCCTCTCTCCTCCCTGTGTTTATCCCCTCCCCCTTCACTCTGCCTCTTTCTCACAGTGTTCAAGTGGGCCATTATGGTACACGGGGATGGGGGCAGCTCGCGCTCAACTTCATCAACATGGCGAGCCTTGTACGTGAGAGGCACGGTGAAGGGGGAGCGAAAAGAAGAATGAGAAAAATGAAAGGTTTCAGTGTGCCATTCATGTTTGTCTTGTTTTTTAATTTTTAATTTTTGCCGTTTGTTTCGCAAAGTGCGTTCTTTTAGTTCATAGTTATGTGACAATAGATATATAGATTACGCATTTTAATTGTAACTTATGTTGTATTTATATTTTTTTATTATCTAATAAAATGATATTAAAATCAAAATAAATAAATTTATAAAGTTAAATAAGAACTTAATCAGAAGACGGTTGTCATGGGTGGAAAAAGGGGTGTGGCAGGTAAAGCACCTGTGGGCAGAAGAACGGGGGGAATGGTGTACGGAACAAGAACTCCGGAACACCCTAAAAGGATGTCACGCTCTCGCAGAGAACCTAAGTATAATCCAGAAGAGCATCCCACCTCAATGGCTNGCTCTCGCAGAGAACCTAAGTATAATCCAGAAGAGCATCCCACCTCAATGGCTCTGCCTCTTGCAAGAAGACTTCTCCTGGAAACCAGGGGATTGGGGTATACTCATATCCCAAACTTCACCGAACAGAGCATACCGGTTCATATCCCGCACCTCAGCCACCGGCTGGCTACCTCTGCAAATTCTACTCCTATCCCATCGCCAATAATAACCTCCAGGAATTAGCCATCCTCAACAGTGAACCTCAGTCCTTCCGGCTGCGAAAAGTGAGGGTATCAAAAACCAAACCATGGATAATCTTCCAGCCTGGCCTCAGCATAGCAGAGCTCGAATTCGATCCTAAGGAGCGGAAATGGAAACAAAGCAAATCCGGAAAAACTAGAACGATACCGGAATACGACGTGAAATTCAGGTACAACCTAGGCCTGCTGACCACGGACCCCAACCCCAAACTTGAAAACAGATGGAGAGAGACACTGATCCTAGAGCCAACTACCTCAATATCCATCCCCTGGACGAAATACCTTCCCATCAGACCAGCGAGAATCCGTAGCTTACAGTGGCTCCTGGCCCATGCAGCACTCCCTGTCAACCAGTGGCTCCACAAAAGAAGAAAACACTCGGACCCCGACAGCTTGGAACTATGTGTAATGTGCAGGGACAGTGTCCGCGAAGACATCCCCCACTGCCTCCTTTACTGCAGCCAGTCCGCCTGGATATGGAATAAAGTCCGAAATCTATGGTCCCACCTCTTCTCATCCCCTCCCCCCAACCTCACCCCTCTGAACATCCTACTTCTATCTAACATCCCCGACAGCCTCAGAGGTGCAAAAGCAGTCTGGTTCCACATGATCAGGAAACTAGCACTGTGGGTCATATGGAAAAGGAGGTGCACCAAGACAATCGAGGGTTCAGAAGTGGCCAAGGAGGAAATATGGACCCTGCTGCTGAGGATGGTGGAAACAGAGATCCGATGCAAATGGAGGAGTATATCTACAGCAACGAGAGGCAAACCGGAAAGACTCGCACTCAGGAGACGAATCTTCATGAGAGACTGGCTGCTACAGGAAAGATCGCGACAATCTCAGACAATAAATTACATTGGAAGAAATGGGCCACTCCAACAATGACAAGGGATGTAGCCCCGAGAGGGACAAATTGAGGTTCTAGCCTCAGACGGATAGACATCTCTCCCGGTTGTCTAGTGCTTCAATACCTACTCGACAGAACCTACAGGGTTTCTGAGAGGAAAGCTAGGGTAGGGCAAGCTGACAGTCAATCCTCCCATACAGGAGTAATCAATGCTGCTCAGGGTGCCTTCGGCCAGACGGAAGGAAGCGTGGGGTTGTACTATGATGTATTCAATTTTGACTTGCCGGGGGAATAGGAACCGGACTGACGTTCCCAAAAAAAAACATGGAGCCAGGACCATAAGGACCTGTTCGAAAAAAAAAAAAAAAAAAAAAAAAAAAAAAAAAAAAAAAAAAAAAAAAAAAAAAAAAAAAAAAAAAAAAAAAAAAAAAGAGATATAGCCAGTACAGCTGTCACTTGATACTTACTGAGGGCACATTTTTGCCCAGTGTTTTCTGAACCAGTGAACCCTAGCTCTGCAACCCTCCACTCTGTGACTTTTTCTTCTCCAATATATATACCATTTCTCCTTTTTTTCAATTTTTTGTTAAAAAAGAAAAAAAAAACTTTTCATTTAGGTATTCTTTTCTTTTTTTTCCTTCCTTGGATTTTTTTTTAACATCCTCATTTTTCATCCCTTTAAATTTGCATTTTAGTAGGGTTTTACAGTAAATCCATGATTGGCATATGCCACAGGGAGTGGGTAGAATCTGAGACAACCGGTGCCAGGCACGCTAATGGCGACCATAGTGGACATTAGCCCAGCATGAAACTGATGAGTGGGGGCCATGTTGTCTTTGTTGCAGCTGGAGGACATCTACGCTAGTTTGTTCCTGGTGCAATGTGATCTCAAGCTCTCAAGGGAAAGGCACAAGTTGGGGGAGCGGCAGGAGGTTACTACAAAATTCTGCAATGGCTGCTGTCTCTTCATTATCATTGTTTCCATCATCTGGCTTCCAATGCTTGTATGTATGCCCCCCTCCAGTTCTGCCCTCCCCCCCCGCCGCTGCCTCTCTCTCTCTCTCTCTCTCTCTCTCTCTCTCTCTCTCTCTCTCTCTCTCNCACACACACACACACACACACACACACACACACACACACACACACACACACACGCTCCTTGAGAGTGTGCCCATGTCTGCATCCCTGAGCAGTGAGCTCAAAGTTTATCCGCCATTGATTGTCACCTATTATGTTTTCTGGTAAATGCCTGTGGAGGAATTAAAGCAAATCCTGACAGGAGAGTTATACCATGTGATGGGAGGGACTCGCAAGCCCACAAGTTGAAGGAGGTCTTAAAGAGTTCACGCGTTGTAGTCCGTCCCTGGACGTATGTGACTGCAATCGCGGCCAGTCATTGATGACAGTGGTTGCATTAGCACACAGAAATCATACCTTGAAGCACAGTTGTCACATCTTGATTTCTACACTGAGTATGGCCCCGAGTCGTCGGGTTTGAAGCACAGATGTCTCTTGAAGCATAGCGTCTTTTGCTAAAGGCCTAAAGACTTTATGTGGATCCGGTAAAACTGATCTTGAAACAACTGGTCCCTTTATCGTCTGGATATTCCTTGCACCTTACAAGGGGGGTAGAGGAAGAAGAACCCTTTTATTTCTCTACCCTCCTCCAACTGCTCCTTTAGTCTACCAGTTGGATTAAGTATACGTGTATAAGCTGGCTTGTTCTTTGAGGAGGTGCTATGGAAATGGAGGGGGGTAGAGGAAGAAAAAACCCTTTTTATTTCTCTCTCTAATTTAGTAATTTTTAAAGTTTTTTTATTTAATCCACCACTACCTCTGAGCCTCTTTTTGCCAAGGTGGAGTCGAACTGCGCGCCGTCTGGTGGTCGAAATTCCAGTGCGGTGTTTTTTTCGTTTTCTTTTGGCTGGCGCCGCCAGCCTTTGTGGTCCGGTAGCGCCCAACCTCTGCCAGCCTCGAAAGAATGCAGTATAGGTTGGCCTCCCGGCCTGAAAGGTAGTGGTTGTTTTAACTCCATGAGCAGTGGGTGTGGAATCCCCAGGCCCGCTGCAAACTGCACCCCGTACACATCTGCTGCTGCTATGGTTAATTGCCAACAGGCCTAACAAGGTTGTGAAAGCGACTTTCTTTTTTCTGGGGCGGGGGGGGGTGGGGGGCGGGGGGGGGGGGGGGGGGGGGGCCAAGGTGGGGACTGTCGGGGCTGGGCGTAGCTGTATCCATCTGATTCCATCAGGATTTGAGTTATTATCTCTTTATCAACAGTGTACCATTCAGACATATGGGCTGGGTAGTGTGTTTACTATTTACTATTTTTTTTATGTATTATGTACACTTTCACATCTCAATGCTTGCTGTTTACTGATTTAGCTAAATGTTTATGATGTTTCTGTCAAGTCTTTGGCCATAAACTTGACTGAATCGGACTGTAATGTCAGACAAAGTCAGTAGGAATTATAAGCAATAGTAGAAGCTTTCTAGGAAGCATCCACAATGACAGGCAAATTCAGTAGAGGCAATAGCAACCAGACTTCTCTACTGAACTTTTGCTTTTAATTGCTGTCCAATTCAGCGGAGTCCAAGTGTGAGGATATCCTTTATTTGAGTCCGCTCAGCTCCGCTGTTCATTCTTTATTTCAAACGTTTTGTGAGAGAGACGTTTGGAACCTAACACTTTTCCATGAGGATTCGTACTCATGATTCATTCGCTAAACAAGTTACGATGTGTGTGTACCATCCAATGTAACACTTTCGCCTCCATCTGTTTCCGCGAGGACTCGAACTCGTGTTTCATTCACTACAAGTTATGATGTGTGTGTAGTACTGTGTATCATCCAATGTCCATTCAACAAACTCTCAACTAGGGACACCTGCTTCCCCTCGTTGCCTTGGGTGTTGTTTGCGTTCAGCTGCTCTTCATAAACCCTCATGTCAAGAGTTTGGTTCTGAATCGCCTAGGGCTGGTCCGTTCAAGTGATGATAACTCATCGGGGGCCGTCACAAGCTGTCGTCTCCTCATCGGGGGACATCTTTTTTTTTTTTTTTTTTTTTCAGGCCACCAAGTTGGGTACTCCTTAGACCATCCGGACCTTACTACCGTCTTCACCCAAATAGAACGCCGGGTCATTATCGCTGTATTTAGACTGGAAGATGGCCCAAATACAGCTATAATGACCGGGCATTCAGGTGAAGACGGTAGCCATTCATACCCTCTAGCAAGCTCTACTCTGTGCGGGGAGTAGCACGTACCCAGGCTCTTAACCCCTGGCGACGGGTGGGAGGGGGGGAAGGCAGAAGACGGTAGCCATTCAGACCCTCTAGCAAGCTCTACTCTGTGCGGGGAGTAGCACGTACCCAGGTCCTAACCCCTGGCGACGGGTGGGAGGGGGGGGAGGCATACCCCTACCAAGACCAACCCGAGGGGGCAAGCTGACTATCTCAGCTGGTGACCCTCTGAAGACCATGTCAAGAGTTCGGTTCTGGATCGCCCTAGGGCCAGTCTGTTCAAAAATGATGATATCTCAACGCCGCCGTCCTTTTTAAAGGCAAGGAAAAGAAGAGGCGACTATACCATGAGTTCACTGTATGTGTGCAATCCCGGCCAAAGTTAAGTGTCCTGTATCGATCTGCAGCTGACGTTCTGATCTGAGTGTGCACGGACAAAGGGACATTTTTTTCGCGGACATCCTGTCGTCGTTGTTTGTGTTCAACCCTCCTCTTCACATAGCCTCTAATAACACCATTTCAAAAACTTGGTTGCCTTTGTGCAGATGTTCAGTACGGGCAATCCGGTCAACGTACCAAATCCAGTCATTGACGTGAAGCTGACAGTGTCACTATACACAGACAAAGGGACATTTCCGCTCTATCAGGGTGGGAAACGGCGACTTATAAAAGCGGGATGGAAACCGCCAAACGACACTTGGTTGCACAGATTCGAGAAAGAGAACATTCAGCTCATCTGTTGTTATCCGGACTCCGACACAGTCTGGCAGCTGCCCAGACCGGTTCAGAACAGCCTGGCGAGCTTCGTAAACAACAACACGACATTGCAGGTGCTGTGGGAGTTCATACGAGAGTTGCCGCTTGGCAAGGAGATGATAATGAACGATCTGGAGGCAGCCACAGGGGAGGGGTTGGATGAAAAGATTGTGGGGGTTCTCAGCGGCACTCTAGGCGCAGCTGATTTCCCTGCCTTGTACCCCAAGTATTGGCGGCTCCCGGGTATTGGGAAGGCGAAAGCACTGGAGATGGCAAAGGTAAAGTGCACAGCGCACAAAAACAAACAAACAAAAAAAAAAAAAAACTGGAGAATATGTGGAGATGGGAAAGGTAAGTGCACAGTGCCGTAAGTGCACAGAAAAACAATAAAAAATAAATAAAAGAGAGAGGGAGAGAGAGAAAGCTAGGCTATATATATCGTCAAACAGAGCTCCCCAGTACACCGTAGGCAGAGAGGGAGAAGAGGACAAGAAACAAAGGGCTGTGACAAACTGTTTCGTCAGAGTTTCACCGACTCATCAGGAGGCTGAACCCTTTTTTTTTTGTTTTTTTCTAATACAACAGCCCGTATGGGAGATAGGGGCGCTGGTATGAGCAGACGCCTCTATCTCCCCCGGGGAGACTCCATCTATTGGTGGGGAGCAACACCTGCTGGAAATCGGGTCCAGCGTCCCTTACATAACAACCATTCCAATCACGCTGAGATGCTTCTGACTGTCTTCCAACCTGCCAGCATTGATTACCCTGAAGACAGGGGATTGACTGAGCAGGCTCAAACAGGTAGGAAGAGGGGCCCCAGCCCCTGTGTCTGTGCTTATAACTGTCTCTCCCTCACTCTGCCCCATACCATTGAAGATCCACTATTGACAGACCATGGGGTGGAAAGGGGTCGGGGAAGTCCAAGGGGGAGCGCAGCGGTATCGCTGCATCCACCTTAGTCCAGTCCTGAAAACAGATGGTATGGTATAGTCTCGCTGAACCCAGCCCCTCGTTTGTTGTCCTCTTCTCTGTCTCTGCCTACGGTTTACCGGGCAGTTCTATTTGTGACGATATATATGGTTCCGTTTTTTTACTATGGGTATGGTAGAATTTGTTTTGGTAACCTTGTCTGCATCCCGGTTGGTTTTGTCCCGTTGTTCGGTCTATTTCGGCGAGCGTAGCGGTGCTTTCATGTGGGACCAGTCATTCGGGTTCTTTTTTCAGTCTTGGCATCCTAGTTGGTTGCTTCTCGTTGTTCGGCCTGTGGTGAGGGGGCGGTGCTTTTATGTGGGAATCGTCATCTGGGATCGTCTTTTATGTTTTTTGTCCCAGTACAAACGGTTTACAAATGGGAATACCAACGTCTTGATGACGAATAAGGCCATTTGCTGTATATAGATATGTATCTGGGATTCCTTTTTTTTGCAGACAAGAGTTTTGTCCTGGTTGGTCTTGTCCAGTCGTTTGGCCTGTGAAGGAGGGGTGGTGCTTGCATGTGGGACTTGTCATCTAGGATCCGTTTTGGTGCTGTTGCTTGTTGCCCCCTATTTTGTTGTATTTGGCTGTTCCCTTCCTCTTTTCTTTGCCTCTTTGCCCTTTGGGTGTGTGCAAGTGGGTCAATATGACACAAGGGGGTGGGGCAGCCGCCGCTCAACCTACATCCACGTGGGCGGCCTTGTACACAAGAGGTTCTGAACAGGGGGAGTTGTAAGAAAGAAGATAAAAAAATGATTATTTTTTTTCTTGTTCTGTTCTGTTTTTTTTGCCTTTATTCTCTGATATTCATGTGACGATATATATGTATATATTCTGTACACTAGAGATGGCACTCTTCGAAAGCAAATCATTTGTATTCCAATGGGAACAAATGCTGGCCCAGAAATTTCCAATCTAACGCTCTATTGGGATGAAGCACGCTTTATTGATGACATTCGTCAACATGATCCCCAAGCTGCTCAGCGATACGCCTTCACTTACCGCCTCATTGATGATGTTCTTTCATGGGGGCAATTACCTCCTCCTTCA